TGAATTTTGTTAATGAAAATGAGAAATGAGAAGCTATAGAGCATTTAGTAAAGTAAATAAACACTACTTTACAAAAATAAATTTAAACCACAGTAGATGTTTCAATTGAGAATTTGAGGTCTAGCTTTTTGTTTATTTTTCTTGAAAGAAACTTTCAGGTGCTCTTTTAATCCTCCCTTATGATCTTTAGTGGGGCCTCCACCCTCCCTTTGGCTTTAGGTGAAATCAAGATACAATTTGATGGCTGATGAGTGCTCACATGGTAACTGAGGAACCTCTGGTGTCAACTTCAAATCGGATTTTACTATCTTTGAACTTATTGTGGCCCGAAGGGATCCCACTTGGCCAAACAAATCTGGCCTTAATTATGCTGTGGTTATTACATCTTTCATAAATGATCTTTCTACTTCCTGGCCTTCTTTTCCCACACGACATTGTACTTAAATGCTTTATAAAGATATCATTAATATCCTTAGAATTTGCAAATATCTAGTCAGACTGAAAATATGTACCATACATATGTTGGATGTGAAGTTTATAAAGATGAAAGTATGATGTGGGGCCTAAGTCCCTGWTAAGAGGCTTTCACATCTGATGAGCCTTTGAATTTTGTTAATGAAAATGAGAAATGAGAAGCTATAGAGCATTTAGTAAAGTAAATAAACACTACTTTACAAAAATAAATTTAAACCACAGTATATGTTTCAATTGAGAATTTGAGGTCTAGCTTTTTTTTTTATTTTTCTTGAAAGAAACTTTCAGGAGCTCTTTTAATCCTCCCTTATGATCTTTAGTGGGGCCTCCACCCTCCCTTTGGTTTTTAGGTGAAATCAAGACACAATTTGATGGCTGATGAGTGCTCACATGGTAACTGAGGAACCTCTGGTGTCAACTTCAAATCGGATTGCACTATCTTTGAACTTATTGTGGCCCGAAGGGATCCCACATGGCCAAACAAATCTGGCCTTAATTTTGCTATGGTTATTACATCCTTCATAAGTGATCTTTCTACTTCCTGGCCTTTTCCCGCACGACATTGTACTTAAATGCTTTAGTGACATGTTTCAACTAATGACAAGGATATGTCCTGGAGCATTGAAATGCACACATTCAGTTATAATTTGGTTCTGATCATGAGCCTTCTAGGCGAGCTCAGACTGCTCAGCTATATAGCTACTTAATTGTTAATGTCACCTTGTGCATTCTTCCTTAAGTAATATTCATTATTGTGCTACTGGAACAGTGGAACCTCATTCTCTTTTATGGTTTTTCATCTTTTTGGTCATTTCTTATTTCTTTACCCACATTCCAATCACCTAATTGCTAAAAATTATTGAACTTGGTACACGCTTTTGACAAGCACTTCTATACAGGACATGAATATATGGTGGTTGAATAACTTGCAGACAGTATATCTAAAATGTTTTTCTAAAGTGAAAAATTAATATGGTAAATAAATAAGAAATAATAATAAAGCAGAACCACTGAAACTGAAAAAACACAGGTTGCTATCCTGCAATTTCCAATTCGGTCTTCTTGAAGTTGCTAGCATAGCTAAAAATGGATAAATTTTGGTCACCTCATAATGATGCTCATGTTGTATTTGTATTTTTGACAGTCTGCTATTGAGAAATTGCATGTACCAGATGAAACAGAGGACTTGTAGTTCACTTGCTAGAGAAGTGCATGGAGTGAGATGGAGTAATGATCTGACAGCTCTCACCCCCATGGAGCTCGGCCTGCTTGTGCTCTCGACTAAGCCTGAACAAAACAGCCGGTAGACAGGGCCCTTTCATTCTTATGGAGATTCCGCAATATGGGGATCTTGTAACATTGTCGTTACATTTGTTTGTATACTACCTGGGGAATCTGCTTACTCAAAGCTGCATGTATGAGCAATTACGATTTACGACATGTTGCCAAACAGGCTTGTATCATTGGTTTGAACTTTGTAAGAACTGCAATTTTGGCGGATACATTTCTCCAGAGAGGAAAATGAGTTCTGTTGCAAGCATTCTCTGCCTTCTGGATTTCCCTACTATATATATATATCCCATCCTTTTCCTATCAATTAAGTGGAAAGTGACCTAATTGATTTGAAGGCATAGGTTTTTTCCTGGGAATTACATGCTACACATTACAGGGGAATCGGGGGTGGGGCAGAGCAGGGTGCATGTGGGGCCCACTGACCATAATGGAGACTCCGCAGTTACGTGGGTATGATCCTGCACCTCTTAATCAGTTAATCGGAGGTGTTGCCAAGTGACCAATAATCATAAAAATTATATCAATAAACCTAAATTGAAGTCTTAAATGATTAGAAATGACCAACTGGTGGATCTCAGACTATTTGCAACCGAGACCTGGGACACACTTGAGAAATGTTGAGGAATGATAGAACAACTAAAATATGCTTGTGTATGCTTCTTGTTGTTTTTCAATCAAAAGACTCAAGTTTAAATATTTCTTGTGGTTTTTTTTTTCTTAATAACATAGAAATGATGGGCTAAGAGTTTACTGAAGTGAATTTAGTGTAGTTAATCATGGGAGAATTTAATAGTGAGTTAATTAGAAGAAAGAATGGTGAGAGAAATAAATTTGAATTGGAATTTAAATCTTTAGAATGAAAGTTAATGTGTAAATAAAACAAAGGATTCGCCTAGTGGAAAGACATGGTACGCTGGGAAAACTTATAACCTAAGGTGGTATTGATTAAAATTCATGGGGTCCTTTGGTCAAAGCTTTTACGTATTTCTGATATTATAAATTTTCCCTAAAACATAATGGTAATTAATAGAAATTGGATTTGCTCCGCAGAACATGCCTCGCACCAAAAAAAAGGGATCAAATGGAATTGGATATGGCTAAATCCAAATTTGATTCATTAATATATGGATTCGGATTTTTCTTTCTAATTGAATTAGGATTAAAATCGAATATTTAATAGCATTAATAATTACACTAAAAATTATTAATCTAAATAAACAAAATCAATCAAAAACGACTTTAACTTGAATCGATGACTATTTTTTTGTTAGAAAATGATTATTCAGTACAATCAATATAAACTTTAATCAGTTCAAATTTGACCATATTAGATTCGACAGAGGTGGATCTATATTCAATTCAATTATAAATGGATAAAATTTGCATTATTTTAAAACGAATGGAATTCAAATTCAAATTCGAACAAACAAAAGGATACTATTTGCAGCCCTATGATGATTTGGTCGCAGCAAATGCGAACGCAGAGCCTAGAGTAACACAGGGCCTTGCAGGTTTTCCCTAAACCTGGCCAGCCACCCCATAGCCAATAGCCATTATTCCTAAACCGTGGATAACGAGTTAAAAAAGATGAATCTCGTGGATATATGATGGATGCAGTGTGACTACACGACCAAACATATAGTCCCCACGGTTATTCCAAGAGACGTTCATAATTTTTCGACCTTTTACATCTATGTAGTGGGAGTTTTTCACATACCAAACCAGCACTCCTTCCTCGTCGCTGCCTTTTCCATCCTGTTCATGTATCATGAGGTCAGAGAAGATGAACAATGTTTTTTTATTATAAGGGTAGTATAGGGATTAAAAAATATTGCAATGGCGGATTTCAATGGAAAACTAATGGAAGGGGATCTTTATCTCACGGTCATAGTACAATGGGGGTCTTTGTCGCAAAACAAAATACAGGGGCATCTTTATAATTTACCCAAACATCTTGCCATGAACTTACAGTGGAGTTCAGATCTGTGCTCCACAAGGGGGCGCCCCACAGTGTCCTACAGCACATCTCCGTCATGTATTGGGAACATCTCCCAATGATGATATATTCAGGACTGGTACTATCATCAGGAGATGTTCCCAATGCACAGCAGGGATATGCTGTGCGACGTTGCGGGGCACAGATGTTAACTCCTTATGGTTCATCTACGGTAGATATTCTTGCGTGCAGCCGAATTCCATGTTCTAAGAGTGTTTAGTTTGTTACGTCTTCCCATTTTCTGTGGGCTCTATTTCCATATCCACCCTATTATTGTTAGTTTGTTCCTGTTAGAGTTAGGGGTAGGCAATTTTCCTTATTGTTCCATCAGTGTGTGGATGAGGAAATTTTCATTCCCGTTGGGATGGGGAGAATACTCTCCACCCTATGGAGATCTCAACTTATATGTATGTATACTAATGTTTTTAAAAATGTGATTGAATATGGAGATTTCAACAAGTCCCACGCATTAAAATGTATAAAATGCAGGGTGCAACTTGGGCAGGCTCAGTTTGTGGTTTTGTGAAAACTTGAATACGTTTAGTCTAAAAACCTGGACTTAATGCGACTTGCACCCCTATTAAAATGTAAGATGGTTTAAAGCTTTTGTACAAATATATTTGTATGTGCAAGCAGGGGTGCACTTAGGGACAGAGGGGAGTCATGTCCGCCTTAAAAATTTGAGTTTAGATTTTATCTTCACAAAATCCGTCTTCACAGCCTTTACAGCGGTGTATAGGAAATATCTCGTATTTGTATTTTTTATTCATGGGAAGATATTTTAAATGCATCTCTACAAGAGCTGTGAGGTTGGTGTGAGCATAAAATCCGAATTCTAAAAATCCCAATGATCCCCATTTATCTCTTACTTATATTTTGATCCATCTGTGTTTATTAACTTTTGATCCTTTTAATCCATATTTATTAGCTTTTGGCCTGAAAAAATTCTAGCTCCGCTCCTATGCGAATGTATCCTTAATTAGCACCATTGATCCTTCCTCTGATTGACAATATAAAGACGATAATATAAGTGTGTTTTGATGGAATGTAGCATGTAGGGTCTGTATATGAACTACTAAAGTTGTTTTATCAGCTGTTTGTGTAATCCTAACTCTGAGATTTTTTTCTTTTATACTAATGTTATTAAAAATATATAATCATGATCTTTTAAGCAAAGATCTAAACCATTTAAGGTGAAACTTGGAAACCTTTCAACCGATCATGATCATCCACACACATATATAATGAATGGACAATTTCGTGATTACCCGCTCATTATTAATACCGTCAAGGAATATATAGGGCATTGTTGGATTCAATACCTTTGATCATTGGGAAAAATTACTATTTCTAGGTTTGAGGAGATAAAGTAAAGAGATGAAATTGATCTGTGTAGGGATGTGAAATGAGAAAAAAAAAAGAAAAATAGAAAAGTTAAAAGTTAAGATCATAAGTCCCAAACCAGAGGCCTGGTGCCATTCTTATATGTTTTTTCTTTAATTTTTACTTGTTCATCTCTAAATAAAGGATTCAGAAGTTAAATTTGAAATTTTATTTGACCCCTTGTTATTTTATTTTAGTAGGGGCAACTGTAAAAAGAAAAACTAAATTTCTTCATAGTTTTATAATTATATAAAATTTTTTATGATGATGGACAAAACCAGCACATCGACCTTTTGATGCTACGTCACCTTGGAAGCCTTAGGCTTTGCAAGAACAACAGAATGGGAATCATATACCCTCTGGGTGGATGCACATATTCTCAAGCGACCTCTGGAAGTTGCCAAAATCAGTCGAACCAAGCTACCCAAGACCCTGGTTCCACCTCGGACACCTCGGGGCATCAAACAGTCCAGGCGCTGGATCGGCACCCTAGCCGAATAACACTGACCTACTACATCAGCGTGAGGTATGCATTTCTAAGCACTCGATGCCTCCGAAATCCTCGAGAACGTGTCAAGCAACTGGAGGTAATAGCAAGAGCTTCCCTGCTTCTTAGGGAAACGACGAGCGCCTCATCCGAAGAACGCTCTCATGAGTCCCTAAGAATTTAGTCACCCAAAATCCATTACTCCAAGAATCTGGGAATCGCCTTAATCACCTCCATCTCTATAAAAGGGGTACCTTTGCCTTCACCAAATATGCTCTTTAACAACAACTCTAGCTTGCATGTTTCTCTCTGCTTAGAACTCTCAGTTCTAGGCGTGACAATTTTACCCACAAAACTGGGTCCCCGATCCGACCTGTCCCCGAACGGGGCGGATTTTCATCGGGCACAAATGCATGCGGGTCGGGTTCAGGGAATTTTTTTTGCCCCGGACCGGGACGGGGCGGGGATGGGGTCTACTTATAAATCCCTGAGTCCGCCCCGACCCCGGTTGTAATTTATAACTATACCCTTATATATAGTGTATTAAACTATTAGGGTACGTTCAATTTCAGTGTTTGTGTTTCACTGTTCAACTTCTTCGCTCGCAGAAGGTAGAAGCCGCAGAACCGCAGTTCGCAGTCGCACAACTGCCGATCGCCGGGCATCGCTGCCAGCGTAGAACCGCCGACCGCCGATCACTGTAGCACAGAGTTGGGGCTCAGTTTGCAAGCGACTATCGTTTTCAGTTCAGTGACTTCAGTCTTCGATTGCAGACTGAGAAACTGAGAAGTCTCGTTCATCTACCGACCGCTAGGCGTCGTTGCCACCGTAGAACCTTTGACCACCAGCCGCCGACCACCCTAGCACAGAACAAACCAGTTTTTATTTTGAAAACAGCTCTCACCGGTAGTTTTCCTTCATGACTTCTGTTGAAAATTTTCCCTCTAAATGTGAATCTATTAAGAAGTGTAGAACTCCTCTTTGCAGGGATGGAGTAGTTGCTTATTTGGTCATTGTTTTGGAAACAAGTGTTTATATGCTGAGGGTTCAATTGGGTTTCTTTTTTCTCTTTTTATGTTTGTCTTTTGTGGTCTTTCTCTTCTCTTAGGGGAGAGAATGGAAGTCTCTGTTTGTGTTGAATCTATCCATCTATTCGACCATTTAGTAATCTCATCAAAGGGCGAGGAAGGATGGAGTCGATGTACAAACAGAGAAGACTGAGAGAAGTGCAATTTAGGGTACATGTCAGGGATTGTTGGGCGGGTACATGTCAGGGACAAACAGAGTGATGAATAGTCCCCAACGGGGCAGAGATGGGTGCGGGGATTTTAACTACGGGGCAGGGACGAGAAGTGCATGCCCTGCCCCATACCCACCCCGTTGCCATCCTTATTCAGTTCATTTAGCTCGATACTAACTTGATCATCAAGCCTCCTCGACTGGACTCACAATCCAGCTCTCTGACATTATCTCTCTTGCAGGTTTCGTGCCATTATCCACTCTCGTATAAGGTCCTGAGCAGATCGAGCCCCATAAATAATTATATAAAATTTTTTCCATGTCTCAGTCAACACAGTTATCCACACTAACTTCTACATATATCGTCACATTGTGGGGTTTACCCAATTTGAAATAAATAAATGTAGTGAACCAACAACAATGCTAGTAGTTGAGAAATGCAACAAACGCGTGAGCATTAATAGATATCAATGTGGTTTCTTAAAGTCTATAGATTGTTGGTTAGCTCACTGTACAACACATAGAGGTGTAAATCGGGTTAGCTCGGCCTAAATTTGGGCCGACCCAGTATGACATGGCATGACGGCATATGGGCTATGCCAGATTCGGTACAATAGTCTGGGCCGTATTGGTTCTGAAGTTCCAGGTCTATGGCTGACACGACACAGCATAACTGTACATACCGCGCGACACGGTCCACATCCAGTCCACGGCACGGTCCACATCCAGTCCACGGCACGACACGCAGTACGAACAGATACGGTTCGTTTTATACCTGTAAACACGCGGCATAGGTTTGAACTTTTGATTAAAATAAAGAAGAAAAGAGATGGTTAGATTTGGTTTACCTCACCCATCCTTCAACGAAAAAGTGAGAGGAAAAGAGAAAGAGAAAGACGGACGCCAACAGTATTGAAAAAGTCAAAAGAGTATCAAGATATTGATGAATTGATAGACAAGAACACGTGGAAAAACAGGCCAACAGCTTTGTTGATACTAAATCATTTCTTTAAATTTATTCTTTTGTTGAAATTTTCGGGTCCTACACTCCCTACAACTCCAGCTCTCCACTCTCTCCATTCGTTACGTTTTTATTTGCCGCTATAGAAGGTTATCCACTTAGATCTAAACCGACCTTGAACTGCTTTAATATCCAACATTTTTCTTAGAGGATCTCTTTGGCGTAAAAAAAAAAAAGAAAAGAATTGGAATCTCCTGCAAATAGAACATGTTTCAATACCCTACTAATATATTGAATACTGGTTATCAATTTTTAGGTACTATTGCATTTTTTTGCATCATAGTCGATGCTCTGCCATCAAATTCATTATTATTACACAATCGCCCAATTGATTATTAATGCATTACTATAAATAAAGGTTGATAGAAAGGCTTCAGATTAATTCGGGTTAGCTGTACACAATGACTGTTTAACTGTATAATTTATGATAATATTTCACGTCAGTAATAATATAAATTCAGCAGATCGATCGGTGAGATGTTCATATTCATATTCCCTGCCCACAGCTATATTAATGACTAGTCAAATCAAATATATGGCCATTCTTTCTCTCTTTATGACAAGCATGACCAATTCTTTTTTGAGTATACACTTATTTCGCCTTGGCTTTACAATTTCTTAAAAATAAAATCAAAGCAAGTATGAGAGTAGTTGGTGATTTGCTATTAGAAATAAGCTTGATCACCCTATCAATTCTTGGTGTGTGGTGGGGGGGAACTCATCTCATATGTGAGCTTTAAATTGATCTCCACTCCATTGAGATAGAAGAATGTCGCCCAAAAGAACCCTACACCTAGCTCTGATACTATCTCAAGAACACTAAACCATTTGATCAAACTAGCTCTGATACTATCTCAAGAACCATTCAACCTAAAAACTTAAGTTGTTAAATAAGGTCATTAAAAAAAATAAATTTTATTAACCATTATTAAAAGGAAGATAAACAAGAACAGGGAAGGACATAGCCCGCCTTGCCCCTAATCCAACTAGATACAAACACTCCCTCACAGCCTCAATCCCCCCTACGAGAGGAATAAAACAAATAATAAAAGGGAATTTAAGTTTCATTACAAAAATGAACTCTTGGAATAGATAGACGTTGATTGTATTGGACAATCAAAGTTTTCACATGGTTCGTTAAGTCGGAAAGATAATTGTAGATAGTCATAGAAACTTTATCCACTCCTACCAAGGCAATCAACAATTTGATTAGCTTCCCTAAAAGCATGATGAAACTCAATATTGAAACCAGCTGAGTTTTCTTTTATTTTGTTGTGTGTGTAATAGACAAACCAAGGATCAGTAATATCATCTTTCATCACATTCCACTCTATATTGAAAAGAAATTTATCCACACAAAATTGTATACCATCAAGGACTGCTAAGAATCCTGCTTGAAAAGAGCTATTCACCCCGTAGTAGTTTGAAAAGACACCTAAGACAATTCCGGTGCTATTTCATATAATTCCTCCTCCACCAGCAGGGTCAGGGTTTCCTCTTAAAGCTCCATAAGTGTTTAATTTGACGTGGCCATCTTAAGATTTTGTCCATCTAATCCAAAGTACTGTTAAGTGAAGTCCTTCAATAGGTTTTATTCTCTAATACCTACAGCCACTAACATTTTTTTACAGATAAAATTCCATAATTCTTCCCTTCACATATGGTTGCAGGTAGAATTTAAAAGCTTATTAAGTGTGATTGAATCTTATCGGCTGAGACATGAAAGAGTCAGTTCTGGATCGGTCCAATTTAAAGATCAACGTCAACCTTGATATATGACACAGAAAGCAACAAGCAACTGTGATAAAGACTTTGTTTCAATTTAATTGATGGGTGAATTTAAATTTTCAAGTCTTATCATAATAGTGGTTTTAGCATCAAATCATGAATCCCATCTCTTTAACGTGACACCGCTTGGGTCCATATTTGATTTTTCTTTCTCCTTGTGTGGCCGTGCAGCTGCAGAGCAAGTTAAGCTAACATGGCATTGACAAATATAAAATCAAAACTTAATAAGGGTCCCTTTGGCTCTGGAGCAATTTTGCTCTTGTGGGTGTGTAGGACTGTAGGTCCTTGCCGACTTCATCCACACATCTGGCTCCTTCCTATGATACAAGTACCGATAATAGGAGAGGAGAAGGTTGCCAGATGAAAATAGTAGTGGCCCAGATTAAATATTGGGTTACCAACAAACCAAAGCTCAACTGTAACAGTTAATTGATAGGGGAAAAGAATAACTATTATTATGGGGTGTTTGTTTTTTGATAAATGGGAGCGGGTTAATCAGTCGGTGAATTATACGAAATGGAAAGAAACCCACGTTCATGTTTTGATATTAGTGGGTTCGATAAACGGTTCATTTTTTTAGGGTTAGATAATTGTTTTTTTTTGTGTTTTATATTTAATTTTGTAAATACATATTAATTTTATTAATATTTTAATAGAATAAGGACATCCAAATATATATAAATGAATCAGACTAAATTTAAATCTATTTGTTCAGATGTCCGTTGGATATTGGTTCAAATTCGGATGTCGGAACTCTTGAATTCTTTTATTGGATTAGATTTATATATTCTTAAATATTTTATATGCACTAAAAAGCAATGGAACAAATCCTTCAGCTGAACAACTTTGACCGTAATCAAATGACCTTTAAAAGTTTCTTTTATCTATTAATAGTGAACCAAACACCCCCTAAATAAATCCCAACTTCCTATGCTCATCTATCAAACACGTCTTCATTCCTTTTCTCCCTTCTCAACAAGCAAGCTGCACGTAGATCGGAAGATCCTAATCGAAGGGTTTGTATTGATGGATAGAGAGTTGAACAGTTTGCATTTTCTGTTTTTGGTCCAAAGTTGTTAATTTCTGTTTTTGGAATCTCCCGTCGCGGCCTCCTGAAAAGTCTAAAACTCAACCATGGTTAGTTTCCAAACTCCATGGTTTCTAAGACGTTCACAATCACAATTCACATACATAAATTTCAACCTTTTCCTCTCTTCTCGTTCTATAAAAACCCCGCGAAATGCGCGGTTTCAGAGTTCGTTCGCTCGTGTCGCCATGGAAGGGGTTCAGGTGGAAGAGCTAACCTCCGGTGCGAGCGGGCGAATTATACCAGTTTTCAGGGATCTTCGAAGAACTGTGCTTTCATGGAGGTCCCTCAGGCGTGTTTTCATCTTCATTCAGTCCATTTTTCTGTGGTTTCTTCTGCTCTTGCGTCGAAATCGCGTCTCTTCGTCGTCATCCTCCTCCTCTTCTTCGTCTTCTTCCAAATCGTCGAGGCGAATATCGGTTTTTAGGAGAGATGAAGAGGACGCTTTAAGGCGGAGAGCGTTGGCTGAGAAATTGGTTATGTTTTCCGGAACGGAAGAGGAAAATGTTTGCCATTGGAGTACGTCGGTGTTCCATGGAACCAGAAGCAACGATTTATTCTTTCGGTCATGGTTTCCTGTCTCTGGGGAAATGAAGTAAGGTCTTGATTTCCGTTATCTAATCGACTAATCGTTCATTTCTTCTTCTTCTTTTTTTTTTTTTCTTGTTTCTTCCCATTTTTAATTGGATTTTGATGGATAAAATCAGTTCTTGTATTTTTCAATGTTGTCTGGTAATTCATTTTTATGGGTATAATTAATTCTTTAGTTTAAATGGCTGATTGCTGCAGTTAAAGAATCCCTCGTTTTTTTTTTTTTTTTCTTTCCTGCGAAGGTTCTCTCTCTGCATTATTGGAAGGGTTTAACTTTTTTATGCTGGTGGTGTGCGTGTGTGTGTGGGTAGGGGGGGTGTCTTACGTCGTTTTGGTTGATTTGTTCAACTTTTCTCTTTCTGGTTGCTGAAAAGATTTACCCTTTGATTCCCCATAGCGTGGGCTTTCAATGGCTTTATTCTTTCTTATCTTGTTTGACTATAATTCTGATGACCAACTTGGAATCGATTCTCTTGTCTTATGGATGTAATCATATCTCGACTCTGTATTGCTTCAAAGTGAAACGAGCTGTAATTTCTCTGCAATTTTTCTCTTTTAGGTGCTGTTTTGACCTTAAATGCTCCTAAATTGTTGAAATTAGCATCTCGGAACACATTGATGTCTTGATTTGCACTACTGTTTCCTGTTGGGAGGACTTACCTCACAAGTTTGCCATTTTATTAGTTTTTCACAATTGACTCATGTAATTCATTCACGTATCCTCTGATTGCCAATCATCCCGTTAGCCATGTTAATATCCATGATGATGATATGTACTCTCTATTACATGGCGTTATGTCTACATTTCCATGTGGACGGATCCGTTTATTTCCTAATCGATAATGAGTGTGTCTTATTAGTGTTAGTTTTCTTGTGGACATTATATGCAGTTGGATTTGAAGGTGGTTCTCCTAGGTTCAAGAGATAATTTTTCAGTTCTATTTAAACATTTGATACTGTTGTGGTAAATGAAATCAACCAACTATCTTCCTACACTCTTTCCTTTCCGATATTTACTATTTTCTTGATTGTTTCTGTTTTTCCCCCTTTCTGATTCACAACTATCTAATTTTCATTACCGAATGTGACAGCAATTCCTTTATAATGGATTATTTTTTTTCTCCCATTTGTCTTCCATCTTCACACATCTCTCGTGTTCATTCTATTTGATGGGGTTTTAACTAGGAACGAATATTCTCATCCATTGGTTCCACAATGCTTTGTTGTTTTCATTTGGTACATCTCTACAATGTTGAGGTGTTTTCATCTTGTACTCTGCTAGTGTGGTTAATTTTAACTAATGGGCCTTTGATTTTTATTTTGTTATTATCTCCCTGTTCTGTTCTCAGTTGTGTTTCTCTGATTCTTCAGGGGCATCGTGATCATTATACATGGGCTTAATGAGCATGGGTGAGTACATTAGCTGTATTACCTAATTGTGTGTAACACTTTTGATTTATCTTGTTACACTTTTCTAGTGGGTATTCTGTCAATACATAAATTTGATTTTTCTTTATTGTGTGGAGTTCAACCTATTTTTATTTACATCTTGCAAACAAAATTTTGGTTTCTCTTTGGTGGATGTCAACAGTGGAAGATATGCTCATTTTGCAAGGCAACTTACTTCAAGAAAATTTGGAGTCTATGCAATGGATTGGATAGGTTGGTACTCATGATTGTTTCACCAGTTCTATACTTCTATTGTTATATTGTGATCTGACATGGTTCACTTGTTAAGAGTAAGCAAGCTATTTCATAACATGCTCAGCCAAGAAAACTAATAAAAGTTGAAAAGGAAGAACATAATAGAAGACAAAACACTTGTCTAAAGTCAAAATAGAAAACCAATTAATTTTGTTATTTTTGTTTCATCTCATTAATGTTGCAAACACTATTTAATGATATGGCATTGAATAAGAATACCAGGATAGAATGACAAAAACAACATTCATATGGTTGGATGGGCTTTGGATTTAGGCTTATAATGGTAATATTGCCCATGTAAGTTATCAATGAAATATTGGTGAAGGTGTAGTTAAGTATTATAAAATATCCATAAACCTTTATAGCAAGTTCATTGAATTGAGAACTTGGTCTTTCCTTCTCTACTCTTTTGGCCACTTTCTGGGGGCTGATTAAGATTTATTATTAATAGTATTATATTTACAATTGGTATTAATCATTGCAAAGAGGATAATTTTTTAACATTCTTGATTGGGACTGATAGTCCTTCTTGGTTATCTTATTGCTTACTGATCATTTGAGATCTCACAATATTGCATTTGTGGAATGATTATTTTCCTTTTGTACCTTTCTATAGGACATGGTGGAAGCGATGGATTGCATGGATATGTACCTTCACTTGATCATGTTGTTGATGACACTGTAAGTTTTTCATCGCTCCTTGCTTCATTATGCAGAGCCAACTTAATTGCTCAAATAGGTGCATGGTGTTTTCTTAAGGTCATCATTGTTTTGGAATTCTATTTGGATCTGGCATCTAACTGTAGCTTTCCACAAACTATGGAGATGATCCCTTAGATACATCGATATTTCTCTTAAAAAGTGTTAGGTTTTTATTTTTCAGTGTTTTGCTTGCTGAAACTGTATGCCTTCTTTCATAGGGTGCTTTCTTGGAGAAAATTAGAGCGGAGAATCCTGGAGTACCATGTTTTCTTTTTGGTCATTCAACTGGCGGAGCTATTGTTTTAAAGGTAAATTCAAAAGCCTGACATACTAAAAGTAATCTATTTTGAGAGGGATCCAGGAGTACTAATTGGTGCACATCACATTTTATAGGCAGCTTCATATCCTCACGTTGAAAACATGCTAGAGGGAATTATACTGACTTCTCCAGCTTTGCGTGTCAAACCAGCACATCCAATTGTTGGGGTAATTCTCTTTCCATCACACAGATAACATAGTACACGGGTATTATTCTATTAGATATGGTGGCGGTGAAAAGTTTGATCGTTCTGTTAACTTTTCATTACATCATTAATCACCCCATCAAAGTAGGACTGCCTTTTCCGACCTTCAATCAATATTCTTTTGGTGGGCGGTGGATGGGAACGAACAATTGCAATGTTGATTGGGGTTACTGGCATTTAATTTGATTTCCCATTCATCTGAGTGGCTGGTTGCTTGTTCCAAATGAAGTGAACTCAATAACATGAACCTCCTCCTCTCATTATATTCCATACAAGTTTCTGAGGGTTCTTTGTCATGTCCTTGTGCAGGCTATAGCTCCTATATTTTCTCTTGTGGCTCCCAAGTTTCAATTCAAAGGTGCCAACAAGAGAGGTATTCCAGTTTCACGGGATCCTGCTGCTATGGTAGCCAAGTACACAGACCCACTGGTCTACACTGGACCCATTAGGGTTCGAACAGGCCATGAAATCCTTCGCATCTCCTCTTACTTGATGCAGAATATAAAATCTGTCACAGTCCCATTCCTGGTCCTCCATGGAACAGCTGATAAGGTGACTGATCCCCTTGCCTCACAGGACTTGTATAACAATGCAGCATCAAAGTTCAAAGACATTAAGCTCTATGATGGCTTCTTACATGACCTTCTATTTGAGCCGGAGCGTGAAGAGATAACGGGAGATATCATCAATTGGATGGAGAAGAAGTTACAAGCACGACCAAATCTGGGAAAGGTCAAGTATTGGTGAATATCACAAAATGAAATTTCTATTTACCCATTGCTTGGGAGGATGATTTGCACTGAAAAATGAAGTCAAATTCATCTGACCCATAGCATTTAAACCACGATATAGGAATTGAAGCTTGTATATATTACTAAATATTATTTATGCTAGCTTTTTGCTTAGTTAAATGAAATTCACCTTTTTGCTTATTGTTTAATATGATACCAGTGATTCTTGGGAATTAAAATAAAAATAATATTTAATATAATATCTTGTTTAATCGCAATGGCTGAATGGTATTAGTGTGGTTATGTGGTGCACTTATGTCTTTTAGAAAACAGGTAAAATGATTAATTGCTCTAATTCCCTGAAAATTGTATGCTTTTAGTTTAGAGCAAGGATTAAAGTATTGGTATTGGGTATCTTATCAGATAATTCGGATATGGATAAAAATATGCTTTGGAATGCATGGATACGAACGAAAGATATAAAAATGCTTGGGTATGCTAGTGAAATGCATACAAAACACATGAATACATTAATCATATTAAACTAAAAACTGAATTATCTATGAATAAGATCTAAATACATGAGAAATGCATACTTCAATAGATTATATGAAAAATATTACAATAAACAATTCCGGGACTCTAGAACATTCAAACATTATACAATAATTATCACTCTTTCAATTTTATAATAATAATTTTTAATTTTTATTAATTTTGAGAATATTTATTAATTTAGTATTTTATTTAAATAACAACTATTTTTTAAATAATAAATATGTTTTCAGTTTTAACATATAATGTTTTTGTTTTATACATAATTGTAAAATAAAACAAATAAATCATTTAAGGTAGATAAAATAAATTATATTTAATTTTCAGCTTTTATTAAAATTTTTGGGAAAATTAAATCTTAAATTTATTTCAGTTTTTATAATTATATTTTTTCTGTTTTCCATTAATTTTGTTGGGAAAATTTATTTATTTAGTATTTTTATATAATAACTCTATTTTTTTTCAAATAATAACTATGTTTTCATTTTTAACATATAATTTTGTGCAAAATAAAATATACAAATATCTAAGGTAGATGAAATATATTATTTTTAGTTTTTATTAAATTTTTTGGGAAAATTAAATCTTAAATTATTTATTTTAGTTTCCATATTATTATTTTTTAATTTGTATTAAAGATGAAAAACAATTCAAAAGTATTCAATGTACAATTTTGTCAAATTAGACACAGATGCACTTCCATACCGGTATCGGATCGTATCCACCAGTATGGTGTGATATGGCCTGATATGGAGGCATATCGTACTGATACACACGACTCATTAGATACGTATCTAGTCGTAGTGTATCTTGTATCTATGATCATGGATACGAATACGATACACCCCGTATCAAGAGTATCATATCGATACCTTAATCCTTAGTTTAGGGAGCTGAATGTTCTCAAACCAGATTTTTGATAAAAAAAAGAAAAAACAAGTGTTTGTGGCATTACCTAAACCATATTTTTGATAACCAGTTGGAGTTCACTTGGGAGGCTCACAACCACAAAGGCTCCATTTGTTTGTATTGCAGATTTTATTTGCACCGGTGTACATGCATGAGAGTGCAAATTTTAATTCACTTTTGCTTCAGATTTTACTTTACTGAAATGAGAATTGAAATAACGTAATCCCAGATTCAAATAGGTGGTAGAAGATCAAAACATGGATATGTTCATGGTTTTCAAAATCAGACTGAAAACAGAACTGTTTTGGCTATTGGTTTTGGCTCAAATGGTCTGACTGTCTAGTCAGGTGGGACAGTTTGGGGTCCGAAACTGGACAGACTCGTGACCATTTCCTGGGTTAATTGGTCTGATTGTCCGGTCCGGTCCAGTTTTCAAAACCATGCATGTCTGATTTTTAAACTGTACTCGTTTGCATGCAAATTTTGCATCTTAAAAAACTGATATAAAATTTGCACCAATTCCCACTACCCTCAATTCTCTCTCATATAAGGTTGGGACTGCATTTAACTAACTTCCTGCGTTCTAAACAAATTATCCTCTTACCTCCATTCTCTTGCATACATGGTGGTGTATCTATTGGTTTTTATTTACTTTTTATTTTTCACAAACAAATAAGACAGTCAAATCAGAAGCAAGAAGTATATTGAAATTTATATTAATAGTAATATTAACATTTATGTTAATATTTTACACTAAGCCTATTTGCACTTTCAATGCATTTATGCAAATATTAATAATGCGCACTACAATATTGAGCTGCAGAGTACTTTTCCCTTTTAATTAGATAATGGATTTATGTTTATCAATGAGAGAAGTACTTACGAAGTTACAATAGGACAGAATATAAATATGGGATTCTCCCTAATTCAAGGGGTTCTTGACTCTAAGACGAGAAAACATTGACTCTTAGTACAATCACTTTTTCATTGTGGGCTAGGGGTAGAGATGTTAACGTCATCTCATTTAACATTCAAATTTTTTGACAAAAACAAGGAGGCGTGGGCTAGGGGTAGAGATGTAAATTGGGCCGTACCCGGCTCGATATGATGGTTTGAGCTGTGTTGGGTTTAGGGTTTCAAGTCCACGGGTCCATCATGGTCTGCCTGTGGCACAGCCCGTCATGGGCATGCTTTGCTCGCCTGATGAACAAGCCGTTGGGGACCCCCCCTCCCCCCAATGGCTAGTTTCAGGTTTTGGGATTTTTTTATAGAAATACCCCAACATCTATATAGGGGGTATTTACGTATTTTGGTTTTCGAGGGGAGAATGAATGACACAAATGTCCCCCAACAACTATATAACAGCTAGTTTGGGGGGCATTTTGGGTAAAGTGATAAGTAACTTTACAATGACCAAAATACCCCTTCCAACAATTAAAAATGGCTAGTTTTTAAGATATTTTAGGCAATTGAATTATTTTCAATTCCTATAAATAGTCCTATCCTCCACCATTATCATCACACCAATTCAAGAATTCTCTTAATCTCTTCTCTAATTCTCATATTTTCTCAAGTCTCAATTCCTCGATTTCTCGTACATTTTCTAATTCTCTAATTCTCAATTTTATTGAAGTTTCAACAAGAAGACTTGTTCAACAACTCAAGTATTTCAAGTTAGCAATTTGGGAGACTTGGACTTTTGGAGTTGAAAGGCTTCAACCGTTGGAATCACATTGGGATTTCGAATCGGCAATCTGGGTAAGTGCAATTAAATTAATTTTTATTTTTTTAGAATTAAAAAATGGTCGGTTTTTCCCAAAACCAATTCCCCAACATGTTTAATGTTAACGATATTCAATCACAACATGGTAGTGTTAGCACCAATATAGATGCTATTGATATTGATGGAACTTCCACCCATAGTACTGATACTAGGGGAAAGAAAAAGAAGACCACCAAGTTGATTAGCCTGGTTTGGAAAATATTTCAAGTAGAGGAGGTTCAGGGGAGGGGAAAAAGAGTTGTTTACCAAAAATGTAGGAAATACTTTATCTATTGTAGCAAGGGTGGTACTGGCCATTTGGGCAGAACATTTTCTCACCTATGAGGTAAGGACTAAAACACAAATTGGACAGGGGGTTTTGGTACTTTTAAATATTCTTAAGAAAAAAATGAGGTAAGGACTAAAAACATAAATGTTAAACAACCATTTTTGTTAGCTGAAGATACTAAACTTGAAAAATGGTTAAATAATTCTGTAAATCCATAATTTTTAAAAAAAAATCTAAGAATACTATTAAATGAGATGCTTTAAATTTTTTTTATTCATATAAACAAAATTTAATTTATATCTTATCAAATCTTAATTCTAAAGTTGCAATTACTTTTTATATTTAGACTTTTAAATTTAACATAAGTTATATTTGTGTTATCGACCTTTTTATTGATAAAAATTGGCTTTTAAATAAAAGAATTTTAAGTTTTACTAGGCTTGAACAGCCACATACTGGCCAATTATTGCTGCAAGTGTTTTAAATACTTTGCATACTTATGGAATTGACAATAAATTATTTTCTATTAGTTTTGATAATGATAGTAATAATGTTTCAACAATAAATATTTTAAATCTCAATTAAAACCATGTTTAAATGATAAATTATTTCATATTAGATGTGCATGTTACATCTTAAATTTATGTATTCGGGATGCTTTAAAAATTCCTATTGATATTATCTAATTAGTTGTAATTTAGCTTATCAATTAAAGATGACCAGTAATTGTTTTGCAAAATATAGAAAGAATCCACAATTTAAAAGTATTGTTGAAATAATAAAAAATAATTTTAAAAAATTTCGGGAGAACATTTCTCCTCTTTATTGCTTAGCTACAATATTAGATCTTAGGATTAGGAAAGATGGTTTAGATAGTTTACTTGAAATATATTGTGAAAATATGAATATTGAAATTGGAAATGAAAAAGAAGAAACTAATAGTTTATTATTTAAAATGTATAGTTTATATGAATCTGAAGTAACACGAAATAATAAAAATTCTACAACAATTTCATTTAATTTTTATTTAATAAGAGGCGGAAATCTACTATCTCAACAACAAGTTCATTTACTGAATTTAATTTTTATTTACAAGCAAAATTTTCTATTTTAGGTGATTCTTCCTTCACCTCGGAGGGAACAAATAATTTTGATATTTTAGCCTGGTGGAGTGAACATGCAAAAAATTATCCAGTGCTCACCACCATGACACGTGATATACTAACCCCTCTGGTGTGTACAATTCCACTAGAGTCTTGTTTTAGTACAGATACTAAGGTGTTGGATGACAAGAGAATTTGTTTTAATGATGAAAGTGTAGAGATGTGCATCTTTTTTAAAGATTGGTTGGATGCTAAAGATAGATTACAAGGCAAAGGAGAGCATGACACCATTTGATGTTTCACCTGAAGCAGATGATTAAAGTCAAGAACAATAGGAGCAAATGATGAAGTCAATATTTTTTGTATACTCAATAGTTGTATAGCATTTTTTTTTTCAAATTATTGTAAATTTTTATTTAATTTATTTGATATTTTTAATAACGTGATTTTTTTATTTTCAATTTGTAACTATATTGTATTTTTATATTTTATTATTTTTTTTGATTTTCCAATTTTCATATTCCATTCATCCAACCATTGTATGCTTTGTATCAGTCAAATTCAAATGAAATAAAATTCTTATTTTTCTTC